ATGGAGAAATCGAGTTCTCAATATCATCATCAAACAAGGAAAGAAGCCCAAAACAACAATTTATATTTTCAAGTGTAGATAAACACGCTTTGGTTAGGTTAAGAGGACGCACAACGTAAGTTAAGAAGACAGTATCAACAATTTCACCCGAAGACAAATATTTCCCACTTTGTCACTCTTAAGTTGACAGAGGGACACGAGCTAAACTAGCTATTGTTTCATTGGTTAAGTTAGAACTTTTTGATCCGTAACGATACTGGATAGAGCTAAACTTCTATAGAATTTTATAACAGACATATTAGCAAATTTAGAAAGTGGCACTAAGTTACAAGAAAGTATATTACTCAACAAACATTAAAAGTCAAACAAACATTAAAAGACATAAAAAGTCGTTTAAAAACGTTTTAAAGATAAAACTGCTTTAAGCCGCTACTTAAAGCGGGTTTTACGACCATACCTTAGTGAGATCTTAGCCAAGACCTTATGTGCTGTAGTTCTAATACATCGTGCAAACATCGTGCGTGATCTGTTTTTATTATAACTCCATATGCTCCTTTAAGTAAAACTATTTGCTTTTATAATTCAATAAGTCTACATTTGCTATCTCCGACAAGCCACAACGAAAACCATCTGAACATAACCTCGCTTTATCTAAAGTGCTGAACAAAGACTTAAATAGTGATTGACAGCTTATACCTTACCTTAACGTGGTTTGTCATCGCAGCTTCTGCTTGTCATCATTGCAGCATCGTCAGAATCGTACATTATCCTTTTAGTAATTCAATAAACACACGATCTACAGATTTACTGAAACGTAATTGAACTCTAGGGTTTATCTTTCTAAGATAATCTATAAGAGTCTATCGACCTTACAGTACACAAATGATTGTCAGCACCGCTTATATTAAAAAAATTTATAGAATTGTTGAAGTGAGTTATAGAAGTAACTCCAAAGAAGTGGAATGATCTTTTGGAACATATAATTCAACGCTAAGAGAGTATGGAAATATGTGTTTGAAGTCAGTGGTCTATGCGGACGATTAGTGCCATTAAGGCAAGAATTCGCTGGGCCACTCCTGAAATACAGACGAAATATTGAGTGCATTACTTCTGAAATACAGACTTAAATAAACAAACATGTTTAAGAAAATTAAAGTTTGTAAAATAACTTCGTAAAGTCTTATTGATTTACTTCAATATTTGTTAAAATAATATAAAATGTAGTTTCGAATTAAAAATATTTGATTTTTCAAACTATATTCAAACTTTTATATACATGCATTATGTACATCTACATATATATATGCATATTGTATGTATTGTATATATAATGCTTAATCGTTTAGTTTGTGAAAAAGAAACTAAGGACGTGTGCGAGTTAGGCTAAGTTGATGCTAAACCAAATGGGAGATTTTTTGGGATTTTTCGCACTGCACACATTTTGCCATTTATCAACACGTATCGACACATTAATACATTATCGACACAACTTAGAATTTCCCTCATTTAGAACGCAACTTTGCCTAACTCGCACACGACCTAAGTAACCTAATTTTCCTCACAGTAATCTCTTATGTCTTTGAAGTGATTTATGAGTTTTATATATACCTAACATTAAGTAAACTTTAAAAATATATCATCGTAAGTCAGATATTAAAATAACGTTTGTGATTGCTATTTTAATTTTGCATTAAATATTAAAAATAATTATCAATAAATTGTTCGTGCAATTATAAAATAAAAAAAATACGTGATTGATAAGTAATACTTTATGCTTTTTTAACATTGAACACATAGATAAGTAATCAGTGTAATAACCCGCGTATAACTGATTTAATATTAAAAATAAACAATACCACTTTTATCATAACTCCGATATAATGTTCTTAAGAAAGCTTAAAAGTAATTAAACTGAAATTGTGAAGGATTGGAATTTAATAAAAGCGGTTTTTATAAAGATTTTCGATTTATTTACTTTTTTAAACAACAAAAACGTAAAGCATATGTGTTATCTTTAAATAATCATGCAGTTTTCATACTGCATCTATATAACAATCAGCTTAAGAGGTTCGATAAGTCTAAGTGTAAACATAGTATGCATTTAAAAGATAAATACTTACTTATCCACACAAAAAAATATGTAATTGCTCTTAAAAAGCGCAAATGCTTACATTAAATACTTCGCAACACTGTTTTGTCCTCATGCTGGACAAAGCACAGAAAGTGACCAAGATTTAATCGCAACTTCTTTTTTCTGTCATACTCAAATTAGTAATTTACATTACAAAGGAATCACAATTTCACATTTGCCGTGACCATGACTGTCTAGCTAACATGACTCAAGAGGTTCATAAAAATTATAGCAAAATTGTGGAATACATATTTTTCCTGCTTATAAATTCAATATTTGTTTTAAATATTTTTATTTTAATAAATTGGATTTTTGCTTTAATTCACATTTAATACAATTTAATGACTTCATTAAATTTATTTATGTATTCATTGTGTTTGTCCAGTCCAATCGTCTTAATGTCTGCTCACGATTTTCTTTGTTGACACAACGTTTGCGCACATTTCCCTGTTTATTTTTGTTATTTAATATTTTGCCGAAGGTTTTCAATTTAACTAAAATTATTCTTAAATGATTTGCAGATAATTTAACATAAACAAATTTACTTTGCTGACTTTACATTTTTTAAACAATTTCTTAACTTTTCTTTAAACAGGCAAAATAAATATCCTAAAACTATGTAAATTTTATTTTAATTTTAATAAAAAAAATATTAAAAATAAATAAAATTATTATTATTAAATTATTTTATTTACCTGCAATAATTCCTTGCATAAAAATTATGAATTTTCTTATTCGATGGCAAATTGTCGTTCTGTGCCACTGCAGCTTCAGCTAATTTTTTTCTGTTGTGTTTTTATTGCTTTGACATCAAACAACAATAAAGAACGTAGCACAAAAAGGATTCCAACTGACAGCGTGGACAGCTGAGCGCAGCACAAAAACAACAACGAAATGCAAAGCAAAATGTAATGATTTTACAATTATCAAATTCACTTTTCTTAGTATATTTTTTTTTTGTTAATAGCAAATTCACTTTAGCACCATTTGCATTAATAATTTATGTTTAAAATATAGAATTATGCAATTTTAATAAAATATTCAATATATTCAAAACATTGCTTTTTTGCTACACTTAAATTTTTTAGAATTTTCTTTACTAGCAGCGAAATTTCTTTGTGAGCTATTTTTGTGAATAAATTTGTAGACTTCGCGTTTTTATATAATATCGCACTGCTTTATTATTATTATTGTGTTTTCGCTTAGATTTAATTCTATTGCTTATATATTACAAATGATAAAATTAAAATTAATTTTTTTAGCACATTTTTAAAATATAAATCTAATACGAAGGGACACACGCGACACCAGCGAAAAGACAACACAAACTGTCGGTTGTCAAACATCAAAAAAGTAGAATTTCTCATTGAGCTTAGAGTGACCAGTTGCACAATGTTGCACTATGTTTGCAGAACAGCTGAATGGTTTATTGATATATCCGTCATGCAAACAATGAAAACAAATCAATTTCTTTTATAATATATTATATGTGATTTAATAATATATTGTATTTTACATAAAAGTATATTTGTTTCTTTTTTATTGATTTGGAATAAATAAATAATTTTCGTTAGTTTTGTATGAAACAAGTTGGTAGCACTTTTTACTCTGTACTTTACTCATTCTATGTTTTCTTATACCAAATGGTTTGTGTATTTGCTAACTTGTATGTTTATATTGGCAAAGAATTCCTTATACATTCCAATGGTTGATTTAATTATACAATACAGTTTCAGTTAAATAAGATTTAAAATATATGATGAAATTATTTTTGTCATAATAACATACGAACATGATTTTCAAGTGTGATCATTAATCTGTAACATTTACGAATAAAAATGTTGCGATAACTTTGTATTGGTTGATCGCGTACCATTAATTTCAGACTCTGCCATATCATATCAAAACATTTTGATTATTTGAGGTTTAGTGTGAAAAATATTTCACAATTTTCTTTAAAATATTTTTGTTTTTGTTGATTTTATTGTTTTATTGATAACGGTATTCTAAGCTACATGTATGTTGCCAGTAGCGGAGTTTGGAATGGGAGTGATGGGTGACGGCCCCAGTCGGTAGTAATTAAATGACCTTAGATTCGAGGTATAAATAGTTTTCTATAAAATTTTTTTATGTTTTAATAAATTATAAGTAAAAGTCGAGATAGTCGACTTTAATTGAACCCAAAATATATATTGTATATTGTTGTGTAGCAACTTTATTAAAGCCATGTGCGAGTTAGTAAATTATATTAGTATGGCAGCGAATGTTGGTATTTACCAAAATTTCGAGTGGGGTAAATTAGATAAAAATTTAGTAAATTATGTGTTACCATTGTGAAAATTTTATAGATGTTTAATAAATAGATAAAAGTTGAAAAGTTTTAACTAAGAACAATAAGTGCAATAAATATTTACATAAGTGCAATGCAAAAATCCCTAGGAAATTTGAATTTACTTTACCTCAATTTAATCGAAATCGCACATGGCCTATAGGATCCTATATCGTAGGTAAAATAGTATATTTTTTTAGTTTTGAATAAATTAGACGCAAATGTCGAGATATATGATTTTAATGAAACCTGAAATATGTTTTGTGTCTTTAAAGATAATTGACTTATATTTACTAAAAAAATTATTATGAAGTTCACATACAAAATGTTTTCTTTTAAAATTAAATAAAGAATCTAATTTCTTGGTTTTAATTCTAAAAAATATATATAATAGTACAATATAATACGTAACAGTTAAGAATATGTTTATTTGAAAGTCGATAGTGCTTGAAACCGATTGTATGCCGTTTTTATTATGGCAGCACTTTTTATCGCCGAAACGATCTTTCCGTTATCAATTTCGCAATCGATAATAATCACATTCTGATTGGAGCTTTAGCATCTTCAAATATAAACGGACGCAAAATTGTGGAGTTTTGTAAACTAAAAGCAAAACAATGGCACTAACACCGAAGGAATCTGGCGAACATATCGTCAAGAACGCGAAATATGTACGCGTACTACCGGAAGGCATCGAAAAACTAACACAGGAAGTAATTGCCGGCATCTTGGACAAGCGAATTGATGTGAGCAACTTCTCGCAACATGACATGCATCCAAAACCCACTGATGCATATGCCGCGGAGTGGATATTTCTAGTGGATACGCTGAATTTCTGCTTTTGGACGCCCAGTAAATATCATACATAATTATTAAATAAAAAAAATCCTAATGAATTTTCTTCTTCAAATTATAGCAAATTACACAAAATACAAAGTGAATGAACAAACTGGTTACTTTGCTCTTTGTGCAGCAGTCAATCGGGCAATTGCTGAAGGTGTGGATATAACCAATGCGGAGTTTTATTCAAAAATTGACGCTGAAACGCTACGACACATATTTCGCTCGGATGATGGTGACACAGAAGTGCCATTGTTCGATAAGCGAATCTCTTGCCTACATGAAGTGGGTAATCGTTTGTTAGAGAAATGGTCAGGAAAGTTTGAAAATGTGGTACTTGCAGCTAAGAATTCAGCAAAAGAACTTCTAACATTAATTGTCCAAGAGTTTCCGTGCTTCCGTGACGAAGCAGACTTCGCTGGACAACGCGTGGCAATCTATAAGCGTGCACAAATACTTATTGGTGATCTGTGGGCATGCTATCGCGGTGTCGGCTTGGGCGCTTTCAATGATCTTGAGTGCATAACAATGTTTGCTGACTATCGCATACCACAAGTGTTGGTACATTTTAATAGTTTAGAATATACACCGGAATTGTTGGAGTTGCTCAAAAAAGATCAAATTATGGAAAATGGTGATCCAATGGAAGTGGAAATACGTGGTGCTTCTATATACATTGTTGAGAAAGTGAAGGATGCAGTCTTGGAAGAACTTGCTGAAAAGCACCCAGATGTTTCCAAAGCCAATGTCAACGCTATTTTAATAGATCACTTTCTATGGGACTATCGACGTCAATTCGCCAAGGAGCTTGAACATATACCATTCCACAAAACCTTAAGCGTTTACTATTGAGCTGTCTGCATTTAACACTTCATGTTCCTTATTTTATTATTAAAAAAAACTATAAACACACACACAACACTAAAATGTTTTAAATTTAATAAAACCGTTTTTAATTTTTGTAAAATTGTTTACGTTTTTATTTTTCTTATTTTTTCACACAATTTATATTCTCAAATTCCTAAAACTGAATTTGTAAGCTAGCCTAGGCATTTATAGCTTGATTGGCTTTGGCTTTCCAACATGCGATGCCTTACGCTCTTCATGACGTTTCAAGGCATCTTCGCGGTTCAAGTTTCCTTTACGTGCGAAACGTTGGTTGATTAGAAATTTAACATCCATCTATTCACAAAATAAAATTAAGTTAGCGCAAATATTAACTTTTATTTTTTTTTTTAATACTTACACCCAAAGTGGATTCGTGACGCTTGCGAATTGGGCGCTTGATGCCATTGCGATGGGCCTTTCTGTTTTGATTGTGATTAGTGTGATTCTTTGACTTTGCCATCTTAAATTATACTCTGTCGATGCCAATTTATTATATATGCATTACATTATATATGTTTCAAAGAATTTATTTTTTCCAAAACACCAACATATCCACAACAAAGACGAAGCGCATTCAGATTTGTTGACATACAAGTTTAAATGGAAATATAAAAATGAAATCACATTATTGTATATTAATATAGTTGCATTTAATTTTAATTAATAGATATCTACATGTCAATTATTTGATATTATTGGATTATAATTAAACAAATTTTATATTGGCTACCTACGTTTACGACAGTTTAGCGGAAAAGAAACGAAATATTCGAAAGTGTCAAATTTATACCGAAAATTCGAACAAAGACTTGTCCGAGCTATGTTCATTTTTGGAAATGTCAAAATTTATTGCGTACTATACTATAAAAATACAACAATTGGTAAACATTTCAACATTTATAATTTTTCTGTTCAAATAATTAAAAATATATACATTTAACTGTAGTAACTTTAAAAACCTTAATTTATTGAATTAATTTTTATAATTGACGGACGAAGCTACACTGGCAAAATTTCTACATACTATTAATTTTTCACTAGCCATACAAATTTTTGTTCGCAAACAAAATTTAAAAATAATATATATAAGGTTTGACTGCCTAGTCAGGCAATGAAACTGTGTGCTAAACAAATATTAGCAGACGTTTAATTTTTTTCTTTAAATAATGCTCAAAAGTTTAAGTACCAATTCATTAGCATCAGTGACAATCAGAGTAATATATCATAATACATTGCTTAATTCTAATGTTAGAATTAGGATGTTGATCATTTCTGTGGAGCAGATTAACTGTAGGTTTTTATTAAACGTCACTATAACTTTATAAATTTATATTCACTTCTATTTTATAAATAGGATAATGTCAAGGACTCTTATATGACTTTCGTTTCATCTCTATTTCAGTTCTTTGATTTATAACAGTTTAATATTTATAACAGAATAGATAATCTGAGAATTATATCTTCGTATGCTAATTATTAATGGACTAGTTCTATCTAGGCGTAAATTAGGAAAAAACTATATAAAAAGCATATCCATTATTTATTCTCACATTTGTCCATTTGTAATGGCGAAATTAACCTACCAATCGACTTAGTAGACAAATGTATATTGTCTACCAATAGACATTTCATAATAGCCATTATTATAATTTAAATAAATTAAATATAAATTATAAATTACTTATTCATATACTGAGTTAAATATAATAGTTGTTAGCAGTTTGAGCTTTGAATTTAAAATTTTTATTTGCAGTATACAAATTAATTACATGTATCGATACAAACGATTGTATATCGATAATTGTTTCGTGGCAGCATCTGATGTTGTTAATATAGTAGTTTATATCCCGCGCCCAATTGCTAAAATTCAGACATAATAATGCTTTACAATAACAATGCCGTATATAAAAGTTTTAAAGTCTAATATTTAAAAAAATAAAATATTTTAAACCCAAACTATATGCTTTTATTTTTTCCCTTTTAATATCTTTTAAATTCTAGAATGAATCAAAATAATATATCATATTATTTTAATATATTTTTTTTACTCAAACTATTATCAGAAATCAAAGAGTTCTTTTCATTGCAGAAAAGCAGTTATAACCCCTCCTACGAATATTTTCAAAATATTGAACTTCATAAGATAATATAATTGGCAATGTACTGTCAGATTTAATTACTGATAACAAATTTTGTGTACTTTTCTTTGGAAAAAGTATTATTTATAGTTAACTGAAATGAATATTATATTTTTAATAATTAATATATATTTTGAAAGATTATAAGGAGTTGAAATTGATGAATATAAGACGTTAAATGTCTATTCTTTATTGAGTCTTAAGTGCTAAATGCTTTATTAAATACATTCTGATGATTTTTTATTTTTAACTAAAAAATAATTAAAAATTGTTATGTTGTAATAATTTATATTAAAACCTGTTCATATGGTAAAAATAATTGCAAAACAATTTCACTTAGTTATTTATTTTTTTCCGCTAGGTAAAAAAACATCTTAAGCCACAATATAAAATTTGAACCCATTAAAATCATTAAGGGTAAAAGCTGAAACTTTATTCCAGTAATCATGAGAATGGCAGACATTAAAATACAGAAGGCTTAGTGTTTGGACAACAAATATATATGATTCAAAATTGGAAATAAGAGAGCGAAGAAACTTATTAATTTTATATAGCCTTTCTGTTGTTTTTGACAATTTTATAAATTTATTAAATTAAAAATAATTGAAATATATATTTTAAAAATATGTACTGAAATATGTAATTCAATTTGTTTAATAAGATCAGCAATGTAAAAATGTTGTAATGCGTTTCAAAATTGATGGAACCGCTACTGTTCTCCAAATGCAACAAATTGTAATATTTCAACTAACGTTTATTTATTTATGTGGGCATATTTACTTAAGCATAAGAAAAACCATATATTTATAAATACATGTATATACATGTTTTAGAACTTATACAATTCATTAGATGATGTGATTCGAATATTAAAAATGAACACTGTAATTTTCAAAATAAATTCATTTAAAGGTGATACTGCAAATGATAATTTATCGATAATTTTCTGCTGTCCAATAGTGGTGCCAAACTTCGTTACTTTTGCGTATTTGTAACTACCCGTTACTTTTAGAATATGAATTCGTTACTCAGTATTCGTTACTGCGCTTTCGTTACTAAAGTTTAAATGCTTTTTTTCGTAATAAATGAATTTTTAAAATCATGTATGTAAAAGTTAAATATATGTAAAGCTAAATATTTAATTATGAACAAAAGACCGACTACTGCTGCCGACTGCTTACTCTGAACTGCTGCTACCGATTGTCTACTTTCAACTGACTCCTATTACTGCTACTAGACTTCTTAACTGCTTAGTCGACTTTTAGATGACCGCCTTACATATATATTAATTATAATAAATTATAGATTTAATATATAAGAACAATTATTTAAATGAATTGTTTGATCCGCATATTTAGCATTTAGCTTTTCACCTCCTACTGGTTTCAAATGTATCCAAATTTCACTTTTTTTATATCAATGTTTTTACACATTTTTAATGAATTTAATAGCGAAGAAAAATTTTGTTCAAAATGAAGTAGTTATTATTATACCGCGAAAACAATTGCTTAAAGTAATCGTTACCAAGTACTCGAAAGAGTAGTTATAACAAATACTACTCATAGGTAAAATGAGTAACGAAAAGTAACGAATACGAATAACGAATACAAAGTAACGGATAATCACATTTTGGCACTACTACTGTGCAAAACAATTCAGCTGATTGAGTACAAATATTTTTGTAGTGAATTTAACAAGTTATTTATATATCATTCATTTTTATAATTTTTTTCTTAAATCTATTTAATTATATTAAAGATGTGTTCCAGTATGCATTATATGTCAACATTAAACGATAACAAACATCAACATTTGTGTGCAGTAAAGTAATGCCGGCAGAGAAAAGTTTCAGCTTTTGCTGATATTTGGAATAGTGACTAGTGAATTTGTTTTAAAATAAACATAAATGATTTTAAATTATAAGTGTTTTTATTTATTTGCCTTTACAAATATAATAAATCAAATCCAAATGTAAGGTATAAGGACAGTTTGTTTTGTTTTCGTTTGTACCCTACATTCATTTGGGTAAGCAGTAAAAGTTTTATTATCAATATTAAAAATAACAGCAAAAAGCGGAAATTCGTAATATAATATAAAAGTCTAATAAATACAATAAATAAGATATATAATTTAAAAAAAATTAGAAAATAATTGTATAACATTTTTCATTTGAAAAGTATAAAAATAGCCAATATAATAGGTATGAAGGGTACAACAAGTGTCATTGTTGCTGGACTGAAATGCAAGTGCAGTGAAAAAAAAACTAATACATTATAAACTTGCTATGAAGACCACGACACAGAATATAGTGAAATTTACTCTCTTCTACTCACTTACTACTTTTCGTTCCTTTGAATATCTTCAAATGAGTTACTGCACTCATTTACAAAACACACACACCGGCAATGTTTTGATTCTTGCAAATAAAGGCAGTATTTGACAGTACACAGTAGACTCACTGCATTTTGAATACACAACATAAAAACTGTGAAGTTGTTGGAATTCTTAAAAGAAATAAGTAAAAACACGCAATAATGGATAATTCTGATGTAAGTAAAATGCAATTTGGATATTCTTCAGTTCAAATAAATTAAATAATAATTTTTATATTTATAGGAGTCTATGTTGGATGACAATGCGGAATACTACAGCGTATTGAATTCGGCTACCATAAAGGAAAAACTATCGGAAAACATTTTTTCAGTATCCGAGAGGTATGGACGGAGTGACGTGTGGAAAACTTTTGGTAGAATTCAAAATGAAGCAGGCAAAAATTTGGAGGGGTTCGTCGTATGCAGAGGATGCAGAAATGTTTATAAATTTACATCAAAATCAACTTCGAATTTAGTGAGACATAAATGTTATGTTCTGTCCAAATTAGATGTTGATAAAACAAATATTGTCAAGAAAGATATAAATACTGAATGTAAAAAGGAATGTGCCAAGATAACAACAAAGTGGATTCTTCAAGGCCATAGACCTTTTAAAATAATTCAGGATCCCAAATTTAAAGAATTCGCTGAATTTTTACTTTCAGTTGGCTCGAAATATGGAGCTAATGTCGATATTGATAAATTACTTCCACATTGCTCCACACTTGGACACAATATAGAAAAATTGTATAGTATGCAAAAATGTAAATTAAAAGAAGATTTAGAAAGCATCAAGGACGTGGGTTTTGCGATTACTTGTGATTTATGGACGGATAAATATCTACGGGAATCATATTTGGCATGTACAATACACTATATTAAAGATGGAAAAATATTTAACAAATTTTTAGGAATGAAGTCAATGGATGTAGAGGATTGTACAGGTAAATATATATTAATGAGATTAAAAATTTAGAAATTCTAATAAAATAGTGTTGCTACTGATTTCATTGTTATATATTATAATATTAAAAAATTTATTCAATCGCTTATGATTAGATCAGGTTATAACGGCGATCCAAAAGGATTCACTCGGGTCTATTGGCACATTATTAACGAATTTATTCAATCGTTTATGGTTAGAATAGGTTATAACGGCGTTTCTAAAGGATCCACTCGAGCCTATTGGCCCATTATATTATTGTATAATCGAAAAGTCAGAAATTTAAAACCAACTTAATCCTTTGGGAAAGCTTAAAATGCTATTTAATGCGTGGCCTTGCAGTTCATCAAGATTCTCATAAAAA